CCACTTCCCCTACTCCTTTAGACATTTTCTTTGTATTTCACAATATCGATTATACATTTTGATTCTTATTTACACTTTCAGTATTTCACACCAGGGAAACTATTCAGTATTTACATATGTGTGTCCAATTTATTTCACTTAAGAGTATGGCCTCAATGTGCATCCACTTAGCTATAAATGTCTCTAGTTTCTCCTTCTTTATGGCTGAGTAGTACTCCATTTATATATTAAAAAAACCACATCTTCTTTATCCAGTCCGTTAAAGGTTATCTTTGAGTGATAGGATTATGTGTGATTTTTTAAAAAAGTATTATTTTTAAAAATACTCTGGCATGTTCAATTATCTTGTTATTTTATTTATATTCATCTATATCTGTATCTATATATATATGGAACAGTGTATTATAATGTATAGACTTGGACAACTGTGTAACCCAGGCCTGAGAATGTTGACTTACCCAGCAGAGCTGAATAGTTGAGAGGTCTTGTTCCCTGAGAGGTTCTTTTTTTTTTTTTTTTTTAAAGCTTTTTAAATCAGCTTTAAGTACAGCTAGGAATAAATTTCTTTTTTTGATAATATCTAGAATAGTGGCCATTTGTCCTTGAACATGATACTTAATTTTTCTTTCCAACTCTAGATTCCAGAGTGTTTAAGGGACAGTTATCCCAAACCCAATCAGCCCTGTTACCTATATGTGATAGGAATGGTCTTAACTACTCCATTACCCGATGAGCTCAACTTCAGAAGGCGGAAGCTCTATCCCCCGGAAGATACCACGAGATGCTTTGGGATACTGACAGCCAAACCCATACCTCAGGTAGTCCCTTCCTAATGACTGTTGATGTTGAAGATATCATGGTTTTAGCCTTTTTTTTTTTTTTTAAGAAAAAGGTGGAAATCTAGCAGTAAGTGCCTTTGTTACCTCACAGTATTTAATACTTAAAGTTTGAAGTGTCTCTTTTACTCTCCTCATAGAAAACATTATTCTCTTGTGAAGTTAATTGTAATGGAATAAAATAGCTGTGCATGTTAAGGGTTGCTTTTCTTTTTGCTAAGATTCCGCACTTTCCTGTATACACACGCTCTGGAGAAGTTACCATATCCATTGAGTTGAAGAAATCTGGCTTCACACTGTCTCTGCAAATGCTTGAGTTGATTACAAGACTTCACCAGTATATATTCTCACATATTCTTCGGCTTGAAAAACCTGCACTAGAATTTAAACCTACAGACGCTGATTCAGCATACTGTGTTCTACCTCTTAATGTTGGTAAGAAAGACCCAGACTTTAAAGAACTTTTATTGTAACTTAAAAATGAAGTGTTTCCTTGGTAAGTTAGCTTACTATATGTGGAAGTAACTCTAAATTAGATACATGTGGTAGTGTATGACTTGAATAAGAGTTTTATCTGTACTATATTTTAACCAGCTAAAGAGCCTTTTTCTTCCCTAAGTTAATGACTCCAGCACTTTGGACATTGACTTTAAATTTATGGAAGATATTGAGAAATCTGAAGCTCGCATAGGCATTCCCAGTACAAAGTATTCAAAGGAAACACCGTTTGTTTTTAAATTAGAAGATTACCAAGATGCAGTTATCATTCCAAGGTAGGTATTTATTTAAATGAGAAGGAAAATGATGGTGATGCTGTGTTTCAGAAGATACATGTTCGCATGGGAGTGTATGTGAACTGTAACTGTAGCACGTATAGGGGAAGCAGGTATCTTTCATGGTGGGCATGTTTACTCTGGTTTACTTGTTTAAAAACCAAGCCTAAAGCTCTGCAGGTCAAGGGTTTTTGTGTGTGTGTATGTGAAATTCAGATAATCTGTTGATAGTCTTTCTAATTAAAATCTCCATTGTTAAAGTAGATATTTGAAGGTGCCATTTAAAATTCTCACATAGTTAGAACTCTCATAGATAGTTAGAAAGTCAGTTTTTACTTGATAAAGCTTTATAGTTCTTAGATCTCAAATACACTTGAAATGTGTCTTGGAATTATAATTTTCATTAATGTTATTAGCTGTTGCTTTTTGAATTCTTAGTCATAATTTTTGTTTCCATATTAAGACAATTGTGTTTTGAGAATAGTGGATTTAAACAAAAAAGCAACTGATTGTTTTTTCTTTTTTTAGATACCGTAATTTTGATCAGCCTCATCGATTTTATGTAGCTGATGTGTACACTGATCTTACCCCACTCAGTAAATTTCCTTCCCCTGAGTATGAAACTTTTGCAGAATATTATAAAACAAAGTATAACCTTGACCTGACAAATCTCAACCAGCCACTGCTAGATGTGGACCACACATCTTCCAGGTAAGAGCTTCAGAAATGGCACTTAGATCCCACTTGAGGCTTTCCTCCTGAGGGTTGCAGTGGCTTGCAGAGGGTCACTGTGCCCCTGGCCACTCCTGGACTCTACACTCGAGGGACCTTTGTGCAAAGATTGTCCAAAGGCTAGTTTACAAGTCTGCAGTTTAGATTAGCTCTTTAGGTGATTCGTAGGCACATTGAAGTTGGAAGACCATTGTGAGAGCATATTTTATCTGTTTGGTAAAATTGTTTTGAAATTCTTACAGACTTAATCTTTTGACACCTCGACATTTGAATCAGAAGGGGAAAGCACTCCCTCTAAGCAGTGCTGAGAAGAGGAAAGCCAAATGGGAAAGCCTGCAGAATAAACAGGTAATGAGTTGTTCCTAGCGTAACTTAGTATTTTTAAAGATAAGTTTTAGTTTTTTATCGTCAGGTTAGCTGAGAGATGTGTGAATATTTAGGAAGTTATCTAACTCTTACATTTTGTTTTGTTTTATTTTATTTTATTTTTTGGTACTGGGGATTGAACTCGGATCCTTGCATTTGCGCAGCCGGCAGCGAAACCACTGAGCTAAATCCCCGGCCCCATTTTGTTTTATTTTAATCAATATTACTTACTGAATCTTATTTGAATGCCCTTTTTAGCAAGTATTGAGAGTTTTGCTTTTACCGTTGGTTCATTGTTATAATTGTATCATGGAATCACCCTCATAAGTCTTAGCCTAAGTCCCATTTGGATTTAAAGGATTATTTTAAAACTTTTTTTTTCAGTAATAGAGACTGAATCAGGGAGCACTGAGCTACATTGACAGCTCTTTAAAAATTTTTCTTTTTTAATTTTGAGATCTGTCTCAGGTCTTGTCCAGGTTGGCCTCAAACTTGGCAGTCTTTCTGCTTCAGCCTTCCAAGTAGCTGGAATTACAGACATGTGCTACCATACCTGGCTTAAAAAATTTTTTTTTTAAATTAGATTTTACTGCCAGGGATTTAGCTTAGTGGATTCGCTCCCTGCTGTACAAGTGCAAGGACCAGAGTTCAATCCCCGGTACCAAAGAAAATTAGATTTTACTAGCATTTATGACTTTCATTTTTATCCAGTAGTGAAATTGGTCTTTTTCTTTTTTTATTCTTTGTGTATGTGCTTTATGTTTACCTACCTACTTTTTTCCTTACTCAAAGATACTGGTTCCAGAACTCTGTGCTATCCATCCAATTCCAGCATCACTGTGGAGAAAAGCAGTTTGTCTCCCCAGCATACTTTATCGCCTTCACTGCCTTTTGACTGCAGAGGAGCTGAGAGCCCAGACAGCCAGTGACGCTGGTGTGGGAGTCAGGTCACTTCCTGCAGATTTTAGGTATGCCTGTGCTGCTGGCCAGAGGGAACATGGGTCATGAGATCCCATTTGCAACAGAACAGAATTAAGTTAAAAATCATAATTTCATATAAAAATATTTCTTCAAAGAGTAAGAAGAAAACATGGGCATCTAATACATGAAAAAAAATTATTGTTTGACTCCTACGTGAAAATCTGCACATTCAGTCATTGAGCCTTCTGTTCTCGGAAGTTACAAGGGGGTGCACTCCTCACATACCAGTTATCATTTCTTCTCAGAGGTGACACTGAAGTGAGAGTACCAAGAGTTGAGGCTGCTTCTTGTTTTAAAAAACTAAATATAGGGCCGGGGATTTAGCTCAGTGGTTCTGCTGCCTGCCTCGCAAGCACAAGGGCCTGAGTTCGATCCCTGGTACAAAAAAAAAAAAAAGCTATATATTAATAAGCAGTTTCTTGCCTCAGTGTATTTTTTGTCCTCATTATTTTTTCTTATTAAGTAATAAGTCTCCATTCCAGAGAAATTTTTGGTTTAATCACTCAAATTAACTTTGGTTGTCTAGTAGACAATCAGACGATTCTAGGGAGTGAAACAACTTTAAATATTGATAAATCACAGTTGTATTTATTAAATACTTACTACAGCACCAGACTCTATTTGAAATGATGTAGCCTGGGATGGTCCCAGGACCTTAGTTAGGATCCTTAGCCATGTTTCCAAGTGCAGAAGCTTAGGCACTGAGAGGCTCTGTCAGTTGTCCAAAGTTGCTTTCCTGGTTATTCAGGCATGCGGTTCTGTCCTTGACCTCTGGGATCCAGACCCCAAAGGCTACCTCTGGGCTCTCTGATCTTCTCAATTACTGTGCTGTGCTCTAGGGCAAGGATTAACACCTCCCCATAGACTTGACTGCCACTGATATATGCATGACTGGCCCGTGTCACCCAGTGGGACAGTCAGGTATGTATCACCAGTGGTTCAAAGCCAAGCAAGACATAAGAATTACGGGCCTGTCATAAATGTGTTAAAGCAGTAGAGTGATCAGGTATGGTTTGGAAACTTGTTTCTCTCCTAAAGTAGGTATATTTTTATAGCGTTCTCTACATATTTTTTAAAAATTCAGGTTGCTGTGACTCTCTGAGCCGAGTCCTTTTTAAAGATCTGATGAAGTCTGTAAAAATGTCTTTGCAGATACCCTAATTTAGACTTCGGGTGGAAAAAATCTATTGACAGCAAATCTTTCATCTCAATTTCTAATTCCTCTTTGGCTGAAAATGATAATTACTGTAAGCATAGCACAATTGTAATCCCTGAAAATGCTGCACATCAAGGTGCTAATAGAACCTCCTTAGAAATTCATGACCAAATGTCTGTGAACTGCAGAACGTTACTCAGCGAGTCATCTGGTAAGCTCCAAATTGAAGTTTCAACAGATCTTACAGCAATTAATGGTTTTTCTTACAATAAAAATCTTGCTAATGGCAGTTACGATTTAGCTAACAGAGACTTTTGCCAAGGAAATCAGCTGAATTACTACAAGCAGGAAATACCTGTGCACCCAACTACCTCATATCCCATTCAGAATTTATACAATTATGAGAACCAGCCTAAGCCCAGCGATGAATGTACTCTACTGAGTAATAAATACCTTGATGGAAATGCTAACAAATCTACCTCAGATGGAAGTCCCGAGATGGCTGCCATGCCTGGTACAACAGATGCTTTTCAATCGCTCAAGGACAGGATGGATTCTGAGCAGAGCCCTTCTCTTGGCTACTCCTCAAGGACTCTTGGCCCCAATCCTGGACTGATTCTTCAGGCTTTGACCTTGTCCAATGCTAGTGATGGGTTCAACCTGGAGCGGCTTGAAATGCTTGGTGACTCCTTTTTAAAGCACGCCATCACCACATATCTATTTTGCACTTACCCTGATGCTCATGAGGGCCGCCTTTCATACATGAGAAGCAAAAAGGTAAGCCATGATTTCTTATTTTAAGCAGATAACTCTTCATTGTGCCTGAGAGTGTTTTAAAATGTTGGGGAACTTCAGAGGATGGGGAAGTGTTTCCCAGAGATTGCTCCACTGTTCCGCCAGGGCCAGCTGAAGGCCATCTGAAGGACCAGCCAGCAGGTAACTTGAGTGTTTTGTGATGGTGACACACTCAGGTTTGGGGCTTAACTCATTTGTATGTGCCTTATTAAAGAAGTTTAGTTCATATGTGCCCATTTGTGCAAGTGTTTGTACCTCCTAGATCCTGACAGGAAGATCTAGGCATTGCAATCAAGGCATTGCAGTCAGTTCAAGGGGCTCATGCTTTATCCCAGGAGGGTTAAACTTTTGCTTGGAAGGGTGCATTTTGGCACACAGGTGTCCACATGTAAGACAAGTTCTTCCTCCAAGGAGCTCTTCTGCAAAGTTGCATGGAGCATGCAGAGGAAAAAGAACAGGCTTCACAGAACTCAGTTAATGCTAGAGTACAGAGTGATGGTGGAGTTCTGAGTAACTGCCCAATAGGCCCAAGGTAGGACTCGTTCTTAAACTTAATGTAGAAGAGAGTAGTTAAGGCAAAATATGTAAATGATGATAAGACAGGTATCACAAGGTGACATGGGCCTCCTTGGTGAATAACTTAAAAAGCTTACAGAGCTGCTCAAAAAGACTCTCACATGTGAGTCAGGCAAGGAGGCATTAGTGCAAAAGGTAAATTCACAGTACAGAGCCACAATGAGCAGACCGAACGACAGAGCAAGTTAGCTCACTCAGTGGATCAAGGTGATGGTTGCTGGAAGATTGGAAATTGCTTCGCTAAAACTTGAAAAGGCTGGGGGCCAGGGGCTGGGGGTGTTAACTCATGTAGCCCATGGTGGCTGGCCTTGGGGGCTAAGTGTGCATGTAGTCTGTACACTGTAGACATTGTACAAAGGGATTTTGTTAATAAAGTGATAGTTTGAAATGACTAACCTTGTAGCAGAATGTAATGTGGGTTGGAAAACAGAACAAAATCAAAAGCAGGAGCAGAAAATGGGATTGACCTAGAGTTTTGATAGTGAGGAAGGGATGAGGTGAGTGATAATTTCAGAAGAAATAATAAATTTAGCTAACACAAATGGCTTATTCTGCCAGACCCAACTAGTTATTTCTATCTTGCCTAATTAAGTTATTATAATTTGGAGGGTTGTATACTTTTATTGTCCCCATTTTATAGATAAGGACCATGAGGCAGGAGAGGTTCATTTGGCTCAAAGGCACATAGTATGTAAGGGCCAGAGCTGGGATCCAGCCCAGTCTGGCTTTGGAGACCTTGTCTTTCACTATCTTTTCACTATATTATGCTGTTTCTGGTATTTAACACGAGGCGGGGCACAGCATTTTAGAAATGTTATCTTGCATAATCTTCTCCACAAGCCTCTGAAAGGCAGCTAACATGTCCTTGTTTTGCAGATGAGGAAACTGATCCCTAGAGAGTGTGATTAGCTGTGTAAGGTCATCCTGCGGGGCCAGGATAGTCAGTGTGTCTAAGACCAGAGACCACTCTGTACCCGCCCCCCATCTTGTGCTGCTTCCTCTGGGTGCTTGAGGGAGCCTGGTGATGCCCAGATAACAACTGGAGCAGCTGGGAAGCTGGGCACAGAGGCAGTGCTTTGTGAGCGGGCAGGGGAAGATGTGGAAAGTCGGTTAAGATTTGGGGTTTCGGACCTTATGGACTGTGCAGTGGGAATGTTCAGATAATCAAGGGTTTAGGACTCACAAACATTTTGGAGAGTAGTATTCATAAGAGTGATAGTTGAAGCACCGAGGACAAATGAAATTTTCAAGGTGTGTTTGCAGGAAGAAAATATCAAGGCCTGAGAGTGTGAAGTAAGAAATAGTACACTTCATTAAGAAAGAAAGGAGTTATTTTATGTTGTAAAAATTCATACATTATTCATGTGCTTTAGAATCCTTTGATTCCTGGTTTCCCACAGAAGGACTCTGGCGTTAGGGCTGGTCAGGACACCCCCTTGGCAGGTCTTTTGCAGGCTGCAGCTCTGCTGCTCCCTTCGAGAGCCCACATAGGCTCCAGTCCTGGGCCCGCGCTCATGGTCCTTCTCAGTGAGCCTTCTCCCATTGCCACCTGTTACACTCTGCCTGTCCTGAGTTTGGCTTCATACCTGAGTCCTTTTCTTTCTCCCTTCTCCATCCTGCCAACCACAATTCAGTGTCCTCATTGCACATCATCCTTTTGTGCTGCTTTACTCTCCTGGTATGGAAGAGTAGCATAGTAGGGAAGTAACATTTATTTGAGCAGTTGCATTTTAGACTGTAGGGAAAGTGCTTCAGTGCTCAGGCCTAGCAACCCTTCCCTCACAGCTCTGTGTGCTTTGCAAGGGCTGCTCCTTGTCCCTCTGACTGTCCCTTGGGGCTGCCTGGCCAAGTGCCGCTCAGCAGCGGGTGCTAAGTAATAGTTGAGTTATGTGGAAAAGAGCTCATGAAATACTCCAGTAGCAAATTTTTAGAAGATGGAAATGTGATCAACAACTCTAAACCCTCATCTCCAAGTAGAAACTAGACAAAAATGCAGTGATCTGAGCAAATTAGGGAAGAGATAAAGACAGCCCAGGAAAAGCAAATAGACCAGAAGGTGGACAATAAAGCTGATTGACATGAATAAACAAGTGTTCTTTATTACCTTTGCTCATTTTAAAATGATTGAACAGAAGTGTCTCCAAATGCCATCCAAAACAAAGGAATACTGTTTGAGAAAATGTTAGTTAAAATTGCATCTGTGCCTTAGATTCTAGGAATATAACATGATTTTAGCTCTGTGCAACGCCAGTTTCTACTTTGTAACTATGGTTGATGGCATTTCCCCCTTAATTCATTGAGGATAATGTGACATCCTGAATTTTTTAATGTAATCTTTTGTACTCTGATAGGTTCAATTAGCATGTTGCATTTTATATCATTAAATTGTGTTTTTAAAACTTTGACATTAAACCATTTCATTTGATTTATAAGAAGTTTGCATAATTAGATACATTAGATTCTTTTAGACTGCATTTTATATTTAGAAATATTTACAAAAGGATGTAGAATACTTGGGAATCTAAAATTCTTTTCCTCTTGTAAGTAGGTAGAAAAACTGTGTGGTGAACAGTCATAATAATGTAGGACATTTAGCTTAGAATATGTTAACATGCCTTGTAGGATTTCCAGCAGTGATCGTTTATGGATGTGTTTAATGAATCTTTTCTGCCAAAGGTCAGCAACTGTAATCTCTATCGCCTTGGCAAAAAGAAGGGACTGCCCAGCCGCATGGTGGTGTCAATATTTGATCCCCCTGTGAATTGGCTTCCTCCTGGTTATGTAGTAAATCAAGACAAAAGTAACACTGATAAATGGGAAAAAGATGAAATGGTAAGTTTTTGGTAACTGGGAGGCATTTAGTTTCTGGTGAGCTGGAGACTGTTTTCTTTCCATGGCATCTACAAATACCTACAATAGAGCAGATATTTGATATAGTAAATTAATTTCTTTAAATAAACTGTCTTCTGTGAATGTAGAAATACCAGTAGTATAGTTTTGATGGAGGACAGTTTCTGTTTCTACCTTCCTTTTCGAAAGACAGAAAACTTGGTTATGGTTTTGACTTGGGAAAAAGGGAAACCTTAGTCTCACTTTACTGTTAGGTATTACCGTTTACCACAGATCCCTGTCTCCGCTCAGTGAAGGGACTTTTCCGTGACCTACAATCTCTGAGCTGTGCTGAAATAATTAATTTCAGTAAAACTAGTTCAGGGTTTCTCAGGAGTATTTTTCCTCTTGTGAACTTAAAAAAAATCATCTCCCTTCAGGTTGTAGTCTTCTGGAAATCATTTAAGTCTTGCCAGTGATTTCAGAAAACTCCACATATTAGCACCAGCTGCTTCCCTTTGTCTTGTCCTGAAGGCCAGCAGAGGGCAGCTGGGGGCCTCTGCACTGCACACGCTGCTGCGGACCAGTGAGTGGGGGGCTGGAAGATCTAGCGCTGCTTCCAAATTCCGGACCATCTTTTGGGCTTTCGTGGGGCTTTGCTTCCCACATTTATTTTACATTATTGATAGTTGGCTTGTGTTACTTCAGTTTTACTTTTAGGCTGACAATGATGACACCATTTTCCCCACAGGTTATATTATACTCTTCATACCTTCTTTTTGACCTGTAGATCCTAGATTAAGTATTTGTATTTGTTTGTTGAGCACATTTTAAATTCATATACTATTTGGCTTTTTGCAAAAATGAAACTTACATGGAAAGATATTAAGAGAATGTTTTGGGCCGGGGATTTAGCTCAGTGGTTTCACCGCCTGCTTGCAAGCACAAAGACCCGAGTTCGATCCCCGGTACCAAAAAAAAAAGAGAGAGAATGTTTTAACATAATTTGGTCAAAAATTACATGTTATTAATTTATAAGTACACAAAACCTTAGTCGAAAGTGTGTAAGTTTTGAGCTTTAGAAAAACATTTCTATGAAAAGCATTTCAATAACATTTGTCCTTCTTTATAAATACTGTTTCATGATATATTTGACTAAAAAATTGTAGCATAGGGCCAGGGATTTAGCTCAGTGGCTCTGCCGCCTGCCTCGAAAGTGCAAGGTCCCATGTTGGATCCCCAGTACGAAAAAAAAAATTACAGCATAAAGGTGATATTGGCATGTCAGGGTTTTTTTGTTTTTTTTAAATAATAAAGCATGAAGTTATTTTCCTTAATGTCTCTGATGAGTTGGGATTTTGATTTTTGGAATAGATTAAAAATTCTGTTCAGACTTGATTCACTATTTTATGAGTATTGAAATGGGCCCTTGCATTGTGTTGGAAAGCTACAGTGTGTTTTTCTGCTTTCTGCTTTTCCTGTGCTAGCCACTTTCCTCCTGGTCGGCAGTAAATAGATATAGGCAACACCTTTGCATAAGAATGCCTCTGAAGGAGAGCGTGGTATTAACTCTTATGGAAAGGTGACTTGTTCTGAGAGAAAAGGCTTGCACACCATTATTTTTTCTGCAAAAGTTTGAAATGTTTTCAGGGAACATCTCATGAGGTGTAGAACCCTCCTGTTTTGCAGATAAAATATCTGAAACCTAGAGACATCAAAGGACTTTACCCATGATCACACTGTTGATTTCTGACAGCTCTTTGTGTTTTTGTGCGTTGCCAATTTTAGCTTATACCAGCATCTTATTGAAGAACTATAAGGATTAATTCTTAAATTATTCAGTCTGAATTTTTAAATTGTAATTTGCCCTCTTCTAATGTTCAAACATTAGTCAAAACCATCTTGTGTTACCTTGAAAAAAATGTAGGGATTTTTTTTTTTTTTTTTGGTACTGGGGATCGAACTCTGGTCCTAGCGCTTGTGCAGCAGGTAGCAAAACCACCAAGCTAAATCCCTGGCCCAAAATGTAGGGGTTTTAACAAGAACTAGTTCCTTGAGATCTGCCACCATAATTTCTTTTGGTGTTCTTTATTCTTCCAAAAAATTTTTTTTAATTTAAAAGTTTGAAAGGTGGCCTGTGGTGTCTCTTCATGATAGCCCACCCTATGCTGTAGGGTGTATGTTTAAAAAATTTTTTTGCTACTTTTACTTGGCCCAAACTTGCCCTACAGAGCCTGTTTTTCCCCTACCTTTAATAAATGTGAAACTTTGCCACACACACACACAAAATTTTGAAAGATGTATAGTTATAATTGTATGGGTTGCCTTACTGCTATTTCTTTTCAGACAAATATAGTGTTTCCATCTTTTGAGTCTGGTTTAAAATGAAATACTTGCATTACTTAGAAAAAGGCTTGGCAGACAGTTTGAAAAACACTTTGTCAGAATACTCTGGAAAGTTGTTACAGAATTGAAGCATGCCCTCCTGCCTTTTCCCCCAAAGTAAAATGGTATTTTTGTTGTTGTTGGTTTTTTGAAAATTGTGTAACAGAAATTTGGCATCTTTCTAGCATTACAAAAAGTTACATCAGCACTGAAGCCTAGCCTATTATTAAGGTTGTCATTCACAAATAAGCTTTTGCCAAAGAAATTGGAATTAGGAAGGATCTTTTGACAGAAATTGGATTGTTGTGTTTCATGTTAGTCTAAATTTTCTTCTATTTTTGTCAGTTACGCTATAATCTGTTGCCCTGATTATTATAGCTCAGAGTAGAGGGGAAAAGCATAATTTCTCAAAATTCATAGCTTACTTCAGTGGTCACATTTATTTTTTTAGCAAAGCAGTTTAGTTCTATGTTGTAGCAAATGTACTTTGATTTGAAGTGGAAGTAGGGAGAAAAACTTTATTATAAAACCCTACTGTATTTTTTTTTTTGGTGTGTTAGAAGATTTTTTAAATACTTTCTGTTGTTCGATTATACCCTTAATTAAAAAGATAATGCTTTTATCTACATCTGGAACTTCATTTTATTAATTTGAAAATCAGGTCACCATGTTTTAAAACCTCGTCAGACAAATGTAATATCCCTGTGATCAGCATGAGTGCCTTCATTGTGGGTCCTGACAGAGTTAGGCTTCTTGGTTGAAGCTTCACATTGTGGACATTAATTTTAACTTTATATCCATGTTCAAAATACATAACTTCATACTAAATAAAGGTCGTTTTATAACTTAGAAAATGAACATTCAGAGAACATGTTTTACTTTGTCTATATGATTAAATAACTTATTTTATGTTAATTGAAAACAAATGGCCATGATTTTAAAGTTGCCTTTTAGTATTTGTGGTTGTCATTTGAAATTATCCATAACCCTTGCTTTTACTGAGTTTCAAACCCTTTTAAAAACAGCAGCTATGTCTCCCCTCCTTCCCCATTCCTTGTTTTAGACAAAAGACTGCATGTTGGCTAATGGCAAACTGGATGACGAATATGAGGAGGAGGAAGAGGAGGAGGAAGAGGAGGAGGAAGAGGAGGAGGAGGAAGAGGAGGAAGAGGACCTAATGTGGAGGGCTCCAAAGGAGGAAGCTGAGTATGAAGATGATTTCCTGGAGTATGATCAGGAACATATCAAGTTTATCGATAACATGTTAATGGGATCAGGAGCTTTTGTAAAGAAAATTTCTCTTTCTCCTTTTTCAACTGCTGATTCTGCATATGAATGGAAAATGCCAAAAAAATCCTCCTTAGGTAGTATGCCATTTTCATCAGACTTTGAGGATTTCGACTACAGCTCTTGGGATGCAATGTGCTATCTGGATCCTAGCAAAGCTGTTGAAGAGGATGACTTTGTGGTGGGGTTCTGGAATCCATCAGAAGAAAACTGTGGCGTCGACACAGGAAAACAGTCCATTTCTTATGACTTGCACACCGAGCAGTGCATTGCTGACAAAAGCATAGCGGACTGTGTGGAAGCCCTGCTGGGCTGCTATTTAACCAGCTGTGGCGAGAGGGCTGCTCAGCTTTTCCTCTGTTCACTGGGGCTGAAGGTGCTCCCGGTAATTAAAAGGACTGGTCGGGAAAAGGCCCTGTGCCCTGCTCTGGAGAATTTCAGCAGCCAACAAAAGAGCCTTTCAGGGAGCTGTGCCTCCGCGGTTGCGGCTGGCTCACGCTCCTCTGCATGGAAAGACTTGGAATACGGCTGTTTGAAGATCCCACCCAGGTGTATGTTTGACCATCCAGATGCAGATAAAACCCTGACTCACCTTATATCAGGATTTGAAAACTTTGAGAAGAAAATCAACTACAGATTCAAGAATAAGGCTTACCTTCTGCAGGCTTTTACCCATGCCTCCTACCACTACAACACTATCACTGGTAAGGAGCCCCTGGCTATCCTGCTGTCCCTGAAAAGGAGACTTTGTATTGATTGCCTTATAGAGCCCTTGTAAGGAAAGAATTTCTGCATTGCAGTCTTCATGCTTAATATGCATGGTTGGGGGAGAAAGCAACAGAAAACAGAAAGAAGTCTTTATTCTTTTTGTCTTTTGGGGAGTAATAACTGTTTTGTAACTTTGACAGTTGGTAATAGAGTGATCTTGTTTACTTGTGTAGATATCATTTTATATGCTGCATAGTTAAGAAAAACTTGGGCCTTAGTACTTTGCAGTGTTTTCCCATCTACTCCTACCCAAATACCTTTCTGATGCCTGTCCAGTGCTGCTTTTGGTTCTTGATTTTTTCATATACTCTGCATGTATTTCCATACCTTTTTGTTGTTGTTGTTGTTCTGGGCAAAAAGGATCCCTCTCAGGGTCTTTTCTTATCTAAAGATGGCAAGATTAAAAAAAGCATTTCATAGGAAGGTTTCATTGTGCTCTTGCTGACTCCACTGTCATCTACTTTTCATTGTGCTCTGTGATCTTTCTCCTGTTTTATTTAATAAGCCCCTAATCTATAAGAATAGAAGGGGAGTGAGTCCCCAAAACAGAAATGAGCCTGAAACACAGATAAAGTTTATATTTTGCTTTCTGTACAAGAGTAGTAAGTACTTAAATCCAAAATATCAAAGAAAAGTATGAAGTGTATAGTATGTATAACAAAAAGAATACTATAGGTTCAGGTGATCTGCTTAATATAAAACCAAAAAGTGAAAACTTTTCTGATTCTGGATGAGAAAGCCTGATTTTCTGTCAGAAGAAGACAGGATAGATGGCTTTCCACACATTTCTGGGAGTCATAAGGCCTGGATTCTAGCCGGTGGAGCCCTTGCCTCTTAACTCGGGGGGTAGTCTGAGAATCTGGGAAAATCACGTCTTCCCGGCCTCAGTTTTCTCAGCAGGATGGATTCTTCTAGCCGCTGTGAGAAAATCGGTAATACTGGTTAGCATTGAGAATCTCACATTTTGACAACCATTTTTGCCTAAGGCCTTTGCTAACTTCCTCAGCTCTTTATTGGGTTTTGTCAGAGTCAGCATTTCTAGTTCAGGTTGAGAAGAGGGTAGTCTTTTCCTAGTGGTCCTCCCGTGTACCACATGTAACTCAGGAGTGGTGAGGGGTGCTGTCACTTAACTGCCACATTTGAGTGCCGGTGAGGCAGCGTGTGGTGGAGACTCCACAGAGTGACACCTAGGACAGTGACTGCACCTAGCAAAGGGCTTTTGTTCTTAATAAACATTCATCTTTTGGCCACTTGATTATTTTTATGGCCCCAGTTTATTTTATTTATTTATGGAACCAGGGATCAAACTCAGGACCTTGCGCTTGCCAGGCAGGTGCAGCACCATTGAGCTATATTCCTGACCCCAACCCCAGTTTATTTTAAAGAAATTGGCTTTAAATTGGCATTAAAATTTAATTTATGGAGGCTTTAAGAAGTATGATATGTCAAGTAATTTTTCCATTGAGGAAGATCTGTGAAAATGATCTTAGGTAGAGAACTTTAAAATGGGCCTGGGGATCAGAACCTCATGTTAGTTTCGTATATGGGCAGTGTGTGCATGTTGCACAGGCTAACTCTGCTTTGGACCCTCCCTCGTGCAGATTGTTACCAGCGCTTGGAATTCCTGGGAGATGCGATCTTGGACTACCTCATAACCAAGCACCTTTATGAAGACCCACGGCAGCACTCACCCGGGGTCCTGACCGACCTGCGCTCCGCTCTGGTCAACAACACCATCTTCGCGTCCCTGGCTGTGAAGTACGACTACCACAAGTACTTCAAAGCTGTTTCTCCTGAGCTCTTCCATGTCATTGATGACTTCGTGCAGTTTCAGCTTGAGAAGAACGAGATGCAAGGGATGGACTCTGAGGTCAGTGCCGAGTTCAGTGTGGAAGGAGCCGTCCAAGTGGGGTCACAGTGGTTTGAGCTCTGATTTCATAGCTGAGCCGCTGACAGTCAGGACCATGGGCCTGAGCTGAGCGCGGCTGCATTGTGTGGGGCAGCCTCTACACTTGGGGCGCTGCGGCTCAGGTGGAGAGCAGGAACCAGTGGTGTTCAGTGCTCTGTGTCCCAGCCTCACTGAGGCTTCCAGGCCACACATGTCTAGTGGTGCTCTTTCCCTTCCCAGGACAGCCCAGCCTCAGTCAGTGTTGCTTCTTTCTTTCTTTTTTACATGGAACAGATATTTCCTGACATCTCAGGTAGGCATCACAATTATACATTCTGCCTTACTTGAAGTGGGAAAATACATGTAAAAACCAAACTTCTCAATTTTTAACCATTGGAATTTGGGAGGTATTTACTGTAAGTTCAGCCAAAGGTTCTTTGGTGATGGAGCTGATTCCAGTGTTGTGTACACAGTGAGCTAAGAATTTTTGAAGGAAAGGATCCTGCTCCAGTCTTGCCAGTCTCCTCTGATCCTCGGTAGCAGTCATCTGCATACTTGTGGACCCAGGGGAGCACTCACATTTCTTACTCTGCCCCCTTCTAATGCCCTTCATTTCCGTATTTAGTACATTTCTTATAAAGAGTCAAAGAATGTATTAACTCTGTAGTTGCTTTACTTGTTCTCGCTTTAATTAGTACCTCGTCTTTTAAAAAAATTATCCCATCCTGTTATTGGAGAATCATGAGTTTCTTTGGCCTTTTGTGAGAAAAAAATGAGAGTCTAGGTCAGTGATGACGAACCTTTTAGAGCTTTCAGTGATAACAGACAGCCCAGGGCCAGGGATTTAGCTCAGTGGCACCGTGCCTGCCTCACAAGTGCAACGTCCTGAGTTCGATCCCCAGTACCAAAAAAGAAAAGAAAAGAAAAACAGCCTGCTGCTGCACACGTGTTGTAGGCTCATCACCAATAGTGTAGATTCTGAGGTCTGGTCATAGGGCAGAGCGTCAGGTCCCGTGTGCTGCGCACATATGTGGAGGGCACGTCCACAGGCAGGGCTCTCGCTCCACTGCCTCTGAACACATGCCCACAGTGCATGGCTGACACAGCACAATCACATGGGGCAGGTGGAGAACCGTCTCACCTGTGCTCAGCACGCATCCTTGGCTGTCTCGAGGAATAGCTAAGGTCTGAATTTGAGGAATTTGCTGAAATTAGATTTAGGTTCTCTTTTGATGCCCATGGGGCATCCTGGTACTGTTAGTTTTTGTTTTTTCTTTTATTGCCCTTTGTTTATATAAACATATGTATGGAAGTTACAAAAACTTATTAGAAATGTCATGGTCTGGCTTTTCTAACTTAGTGTTTGATCTTAGGTCTATCTTTCTGGGTCTCAGCTGTAAATGGAGAGAAGCTTGGTAAATTTTAAAATTCCTTTCTAGTTAAAAATCATGGGCTAAAAACAATCATCTTGTTTTCTAGCAGTCAGCATTTTAAATGTATATAATGTGTGGCTAAACAGTTTATTTAGAAATTGTTTTTCTCTATTATCTTTAAATCTCACAAATAATCTGTGTTTTAGGAAAATTAGAAAATGCAAGTAAAAAATTAATTGAAGTTTTCTAGTTATACTACCATGATTGTTAAACATTTTGGGATGCATTATTCCTGATATATATGTGAATAAACCTATAAAGTTTAAAATGGAATTATATATGCATAGTGAATCTGTTCTTTTTACTTAATGTATTATAGCTGACTTTCCATATATTTCTTGGCATTAAGATTTTAAGTAGTCACATGTTAGTCAGTATATGGCTAATTTGTTTATCCTTTATGGCTTTTAGTTAGGATTTTTACTAAACATGGGACTGATACATATACTTATATATGCAGTTACTTTTTAAAAGATAAATTGAGGGAGACAGAATTGCTACCTCAAAGAATCAAGAACTTTCAAGAGGCTTTTGTTACATACATCAGATTTTATTCTTTTAATCTGAATATAGTACCTACTGTGTGTTAGGTACTCTGTTATAGAGAACTTATATCGAGTGGTTTAATGAAAAGAGAGCCTGGAGGGGAAAAAATCTTGCAGAAAGAATTTCCCTTCCATGAGAACAATGTGAGGCCAGCCAGGCCAGCTTTGTCCTGAGGAGCACCCTGGCCAGCCCTTGCCAAGCCCTGGGGCAAGAACTGTTGGAATGTGCAGTTCTTTGCTTCTGAGTGAATTTGAGAAGTTTTTCCCATGCAGTATTGACTACTTTTATTTCTAATTCTGATTGAATATGTTTTGTTTTAATTTAGAAGTAATCTTTTTTTTTTTTTCCTTTGCTAGGTAGATATAGAATACTATATGGGATAGGGATTTTTTTCTTGTTTCTTTTTTTAAAGATAAAATGATGTTTGTGGAAAAACCTGTTACAGTGTAGTTAGTAGGCATGCCATAAGTGAATCGTATTGTTACCCTTGTTAAATAAATAATAAAACTCATATATAAGAAAGCATAAGTCTTTAATAAAAACTGGCCTTTCTGCTTACGGGTCACTTTTCTCTGTAATAGCTTAGGAGATCCGAGGAGGATGAAGAGAAGGAAGAGGACATTGAAGTTCCAAAGGCCATGGGGGATATTTTTGAGTCACTTGCTGGTGCCATTTACATGGATAGTGGGATGTCCCTGGAGATGGTTTGGCAGGTGTACTATCCTATGATGAGGCCACTAATAGGTATTGTTGGCTCTTTTTCAAAAGAAACAAAAACAGTTAAAACATACTTCCAGGGTATTATTCATATTATTCTTTCATTTTGATTACAGAAAAGTTTTCTGCAAATGTGCCCCGTTCCCCTGTGCGAGAATTACTTGAAATGGAACCAGAAACTGCCAAATTTAGGTAAGCAAAATGTGTGCGTGGAAACACAGTTGCCATAAACTCATGGTTCTGAAAAATATTTACACTGAACGTTCTTAGTCTGTGTACTCGTTTTTTCTTTTTGTTTTGCAAAGCAAAGCTGAATTAAGGAAGAAACAGCAGCCCTGTCTGTCGGTGGTTTGTATAAGTCCTATTGTACATTTCAGCTTATACGTGGGGCTCTCGCCTTGGCCTGAGAGTGCATACAAAATGCAGGCTGACCATAATAATAAATACTTTCGACTTCTGATTCAAGCTGTTTGGATTTTTATTTACAGCCCGGCTGAGAGAACTTACGATGGGAAGGTCAGAGTCACCGTGGAAGTAGTAGGAAAGGGGAAATTTAAAGGTGTTGGCCGAAGTTACAGGATTGCCAAATCTGCAGCAGCACGAAGAGCCCTACGAAGCCTAAAAGCTAATCAACCTCAGGTTCCCAACAGCTGAAACCCCTTTTTAAAAACAACCCCCCCCAAAAAACAATTAAGGGGAAATATTTAAATCAAAAGGATGATTTAAAAATTGATATTGAGCAGAATGAATTGAAGGCAGAATTTAAAATTTGTTTGATAACAAGATAGATGACAGAATAAAACATTTAACATATGTATAAAATTTTTGGAACTAATTGTAGTTTTAGTTTTTTGCGCAAACACAATCTTGTCTTCTTTCCTCACTTCTGCTTTGTTTAAATCACAAGAGTGCTTTAATGGTGACATTTAGCAAATGGTCAGAATAATTATTGACAGGTTTTGTTTTTGTTCTGTTTTGTTTTTTGTGTGTATGTGTGTTTAATTTTGGTCTGCTTTGCTTGGTGTTAGAATGCCATGGAGCTTAAACTTCAAACAGCCCCTAGATTCAGTAGAGCCCTCTGAACACCCCTCCGTCTGTGCCATGGTGCCAGTCCTGTGATAGTTGGCAAGCCCAATAGAACGATAACGGTGTGCAAGAGATGTGTGCCAGTGTTGTCTTCTTTCCATGTTATCTTGTGTAAGGATGTTCCTGGTTGCTGTTGCACTTGATAGTAAGGGACAGATTTTTATTCAACATTGGCTGGCATGTTGGTGAATCAGATTTTGAGTTTTCCAATGCCGCATAGTCCTGCATAACAAGGGTTCTTGCCTTAAAAGTAAAATTTTCCTGGGTATTCTTTTTAATTTCTGACCTTTTGGAACAAACTATTTTATATTCCCTTCATTTTATCATGCATTAGATGTTGAGACACAGTAATACTTAAAGCTCACCAGTGTAGTTGTACCTTAAATTACTACGGGATTATACTAGCATTTCTGTCACGTGTGTACTGAAGACTTTTGAAAAACCAGAATATGTAGTCTGTGGATTTTCTTGAACATCATAATAAAACACATCTTTGGCTAAATACTCAATTTTGGTAAAAACCCCCTGCTAGGTAGTTCCACTGGTGGAAATGTTTGTGGCAAATAATTTTGCCCTGTAGGCTGTTGTTCTAACAAAATAAACCTTAGACATATCACACCTAAAATATGCTGCAGATTTTATAATTGATTGGTTACTTAGTTAAGCAAAACCAGAGCACCTTTACCTTAGTCTTCTCACATAAATTTCTTACTGTGCTTTTCAAATGTTGCATGCATATTTCACCTACCAAAGCTGTGCTGTTAATGCCATGGAAGTTTAGCAAAGTTTGCGATAAACTGCCATAATTTTGATACATCTGTGATTTAGGTCATTAATTTAGATAAACTAGCTCATTATTTCCATCTTGGGAAAAAGGAAATAAACCCCACATTTTTAGGCATTTGCCCAAGTTTCTTTAATTAGACTTGTAGGCACTCTTCACTTAAATACCTCAGTTCTTTTCTTTTGCATGCATTTTTTCCCCTGTTGGTGCTACGTTTATGTATTATGCTTGAAAATTTAATTTTTTTGCACTGTAACTCTAATACCTCTTAATTTACCTTTTCAAAAGCTGTGGGTCAGTCTTGCACTACCATCAACGTACCAGTAGAGGTTTGCTGCAATTTACCCCATTAATTATGCTTGACGTTTAAGAAAGCTGAGCAGAGGTCTCATTTTCCAGCACGTTGTTCTGAAGTTGATGCTTCATGTAATGCTGCATTTATGTTTTAAATTACAAGGGATTTTTCCTGCACCATCCATCCGCAGAGAAACGCCTGTGTGCACACAGAGAAACTGTCAGCTCTGCTTTCTGAGGAACCCTGGGTGAAGGGGGTATTGAGCTTCTCCAATGTTATTTGTCGTCTCTGATCTTAAATTGAGATCTAAATTATTAAATGAATTTTTAAGCAAATGAACATAGGTGATTTCTTTTAAAAAATATTTAATTCTGATTTGGAACCTTAGGTGTCTATTTGATTTAAAAAAAAAACCTTAATATGAGATATCATGGCAAGTTAAAACCAAGTAGTTCTTAAGTTATATAACTATAAAATATACAGTTAACAAGTAAGGCTGGGTAAGAGTTTTATTTGTGAGGGTGATTTGTGATATCACAGATCTCTTAATTTATAAACTACCTGATGCCAAGAGCTTAGGGCTTTGCATTGTGTCTAATGCATATATCCCAGTGTTACGGGATTCTCTTGCCTCTTGGCGCCCAAATCAGATTGTTTCACAGTTATGATTCCTGGTGGGAGAAGATATATTTTATAACCTGTAAGAAGAATATTTTGTGTTAATACTAAATGTTTAGACTTGGATATGATTAGGTCGTATATTCTCAGGGGTTCACATTTCCTGCTACCATTCAAAATGTCTTATCAGTGGCAAACTTTAGCCCCCCCCCCCACTTTTCTTTTTGAGAAAAATAGCTTATTTTTACAGTTTGAACCATTCTGTGATCCCCTGGTGGCTAAGTTAAAAAATTAAATGTATGAGTTAGACATATGAAATGGTTATGAACGCTTTTGTGCTGCTGCATTTTAATGCTGTCCAGTTTCCCCCAGTTTAGTTTGTTGAGATGTTTTGCATTTGTCACTTAAGAAGAATATCACTCTTTGTTCCCCCACTTTGCAAAATATGTACATCCTTTTGGCTCTGATTGCGGTGGAAACCAGTGTAATGTGGAAATGGCTGGTGGGTGTGTCTGTGTCCCAGCTCATGTGTAACGGACTGGTGAGGTGCAGCTTGAAAAAGCAGCTGCAGAAATTCCTTATGATGATTGTGTACAGGTTAGTTGGCATGAACTCTCATTGTTAATGTTTTTATTTCTTTTGTAATAGACTTTCTGCAGTCCTAACTATGCTGCGTTTGAATAGCTTTTCCCCCTCTGTTCTGTTCATGTAGCACAGATAAGCATTGCACTTGGTACCATGCTTTACCTCATTTCAAGAAAAAGATGCTTAACTGAGAGGAAAAAATGTGGTTTGGCCTTGCTGCTGTTCTGATTTACCGAATTTGAAAAAGATAATTATAATGCCTGCAATGTGTCATATACTTGCACAACTGAAATAGGTCATTTTTGTCTGTGGCATTTTTACTATTTGTGAAAGTATGGCAAAGATTTGTTAACTCTTAATTGTGTTTTTAAAATGTTTGTTACATTTTTTCTTTGACATTATGTGAAATGATTAAATTTAGAATGACCGTTAATACTCCTGTAATTATCCTTTAAAATACTGATATTTTTACTTCCTTAATGGTAGCTCGCCCTCAGAAAGATTCAGATCCCTTTAACTAAATTGCAAGAGACTCGAGCCTGCTTTGGTTCTCTTGGTTCGGTTTGGGATGGAACTCTTCACCCAGCAGTCAGCTCTTCAGTCAGCACCTGAAATCAGGCCGTGGCTGCAAACATAGAGAAGAATGGAAGCCCAGACCCACCACAGGTCACTCTTAAGGCCCAGTGATTTAAAACTATATTTTACTCGGTTTGGGGTTCTAATCCTTTTACACAAATTTAAGACGGCAAACTGACTACGGCATCTTTGTTTATCTGCATCTAAAACTGTCTGAGTCTTGAACTAGTTGGCGTTGTCTGTGGAGGAGGAACTCATGCCATGTGTTACCATCTGTGTGGTTATTTTAATTAGGTATATTTTTACAACCACTGATTGTCTTTCTGGAATTTAATTATTTCCAAATAAACTTCTTTATTTTATATTGTAATGAGAATTTTTAAACATAAAAGTGTTAAGACCAAGAATAGTAAAATGATTTTAAAAGTTATTGGAAACGCCAGTAGCAATATCTATGGAATTTGTGTTGAGACCATTATATTGTCTACTAGCAGTGAAAATGATCTTTCAGAACTAACTTGTAAATATATTTTAATCATTACTTGTTTGTTTTTTCTAGTCCACTTTTATTTGGACATCAACTACAGTCAATTTAAATTTTATAGATGCACTCAATTCACTGCAGCAGCAGGTTACATAGCAAAAATGCAAAGGTGAACAGGAAGACAATTACTGCCTTTTCTGCTGTAGATACAGTAAAGGAAAATGACTAAAATCAAGCAAAACTAATAGGTAATTTCATTGACAATAAAATATTTGCCATCACATGCTGCAGCTGTTTTTAAGCCACATAACATAATTTACTCATACAGTAACCGTGCTGCCGAAGTTTGCAGACTGCACCTTATGGATACAGTTACCTTTAGTTGTTTTCTTTCTTTTTTTTGTAATAATTGTAGCCAAGTAAATCTTCAATAAAGTTATGGTCTGTTCACTTTGTGTCCTTTTGTCTCTTTCCTTTCTTGTTTTGACTTCATTGAAGTGGGTGATAGTATTTAAATAGTGGCAGCATAGAGGATCTTTAAAATGTTTTAACTCCATGATGAATCCTATAGAAATGCATGTTTTACTATGATAAAACATGCATTTCTTGTTTCCTAAGTTCTTCTTCATGTTCCCCTACAGAATTGTATGGTCACAATTGTCTTTTTTAAGACCTGGTATTTAAATAATACCAGTGTGTTTTTTCTGCAGTTCTATCACGATTGATGTGTTCCAGGCCCTGGATTATTCATGTTGTATTTGACACATTCCTTACATGAATTTGGTTTTTCTAAAGAAGTGGACAGAATGATCAGCTTCAGGTTTTTAGGACACATTTCCAACATTGTTAATCAATTAAGAAAGAATTCTGTTATTTCAAGCTTTTGAGCCAGCCTTTTTATAAGTAAGCCAAACAGTAAGAGAAGTCACTTGGCTATAGGAAGATGGTAGGCGTAAGTTTTTTAGAATGAGAGAAGATTTAGTTTTCTTTTTATAAATTTAAATGAATCCCTTCTTTTTCCCTCCCTCTGATTATTCTAAAGAAAAGTGCATGTATCTTAAGCCTAAGGAATTCGGGTTAAGTGCCTGGGTCATTGCCCACAACTCAGATCATTCATAAGGCCGCACCTTCGTGCCACCTCTCCTTCCTGCCACCGTTGACCCTCTGCCCCTCCAGAGACGAGCAGTGGCTCTCTTCTGCAGCTCCCAAGGCTGACCGTAACTAACAGCCAAGCCACGGGTTTCATTGTGCAGACCAAGCTGTGCATGAGGAGGATCCAGAGGGAAATGGAGTGTTTTGTGTTGTGGATCTGTAGGCACAGTTCAGGCTCTGCGTGGACGGTGAAGCCCAGGGCACAGTCCTCTCAGGTGCACGCTGTCACTCATCCTCACAGAGGCACGAGGAGCAAACAGATGTGTAGGCAGAGAAAATCTTCCTAACCTGTCCACAAGACAGCGCATGAACAACCTTGAAATCTTTTTTTTTTCTTTCTGTGGTAAAATATACATAAAACTTACCATTTTAATCATTGTAAAATGTGGGCTAAAGTATCTTCACAGTGTTGTGTAACCATCAAGCACCATCCATCCATCTCTGGGACTTTTTCTTTGTCCCAAACTGAAACACTGTACTCTTTAAACACCAGCTTCCGTTTTCCTTCCTTCCAAATCTCTGGCAGCCTCATTCTACTTTTTGTGTGTATTAACTTTCATAAATACCTCACATGTGTGGAATCGGGCCCTGTTTGACCTTTTTTTGGTCTTATTTCTCTTAGGTTCATTGGTGTAGCGTGTGTCAGAATTTGCTTTCTGAGGCTGAATGATATTCAGCCTGTTTGGCTGTTATGAATAATGCTATGAACGTGGTAGATACATATCTGTTTCTGTCCCTGCTTTTAGTTCTCTAGAGTGTATACCCCGGAGTGGAATTGCTAGATTATATGAGAATTCTATTTTTAACTTTCTGAGGAGTCACCACATATACCATTTTACAATCTCAGTGGGCAGTACATCGGGGCTCCAGTTTCTTCACAACCTTGCCAACACTTAAACTGTTTTGATAATTCCAAATAGGTGTGAGGTTGTATTTTTCTCTGGTTTTGATTTGCATTTCTCAAGTGATTAGGAACGGTTGGCATCTTTCCATGTGCAGCTGTGTCTGTTGGCCATTTGTATATCTCCTTTGCACAAATGTCTAAGTCCTTACCTTTTTTTGAATTAGGTTAATGTTTTGTTTTAGGAGTTCTTTACATGTGCACATATACTTTAAAATTTTTTATTAGTACATGTTTGTGAGTCACACATTTTACAATCATCTTGGAGAGTGGTTACATGTACATATTACAGCGTTTTTCTAATCTCCTTCCCCCCACCTCCCCTCTCCTCCTCTGGTTCCCCTAACCCTTTTGCATACTTGTTGATGTTACTTGTCTCAGCTCATGTTATGGCATAGATTGTTTACACTGATTGGAGTTATTAGGGTCCTGTACATGGTGCGTCCTTATTCCTCTCGCTTCCCCTTTCCCTCCTCCCCACCTTGCATCCTTGTTCCCTTGGACCACTTTCCTATTGGATGAGATCTGTCCCCTTGTCCCTTCCTACCCAACCTATATCATTTTCTTTGTACTTTGCCTCACTCAAATGAGATCTTATACAGTATTTAAGCTTGTGTGTCTGAGTTATTTCACTCAGTATCATATTTTCCAGGTACATCCATTTTCTTACAAATGCCTCAGATTTGTCATTCTTTATAGCAGAGTAGTATTCCCAACATATATTCTTTATATATTTAATGTTATTATCAAATATGTGATTTTCAAATATCTTCTCCCATTCTTTGGGTAGGCTTTTTACTCTTGATTATAGTATTTGAAAAGATTTTACTTTTGGTGACATCCGATTTATCAATTTGTTTTCCTTTTGTTCCTGTGCTTTTGGTATTTTATCCAAGATATCATTGCCAGATCCATTGTCATGAAGCTTTTCCAGTCTTCTAAGAATTGTAATTTTAGCTTTTATGTTGGGACTTTGATTCTTTTTAATTTTGTGTATGGTGTAAGATAGGGATTTAACTTCATTCTTTTCATGTAACTATCCTGTTTTGCCAGCACTGTTTTTGTGAGTCTTTTCCTCTGCTCTTCAAGTGCTCTGCAAACAGCCATCCGCCCCTCCGGCTACCCAAACACTATGCTTATGTGAGGTCATCCTTGGTTTCTTTCCTTTCCTCATGCCTTGCATCCTGTTGGTTTATCAGCAGATGGTGTGGATTTGGCCTCGTAGACACAACTTCATTCTGTTTCCACTGCTACCACCCATCCTGGCCCTCACCTGGACCGTGTCACAGCCTCCTGACTGCTCTTTGCTGCCTCCACTCTGTGCCTATCTGTTCAGCCAGAGTAACCTGTTTAAAACAGATGCAGATTTCTCCCATGGCCTACCAAGCCAGGTGGGAGCCAGCACCTGGATGTCTGAGTCCTCCCTCAGTGTATAGTAGGTTGGGGCTTTACCCATGCTGAGCTTAGTCTAGTATAGAATTTTCTGTAGGTTCTGGGGTCATGTGTCCTGCATCTGAAGCTTGCTGTCATTGAGCGGCCTGGGGCAGTCGTGACATGCTTCTGTGCCTGGTTACTTCTCTACAGTAGGGGTGGTGCTGAGAGTGCTGGGAAGGCATTTAGTTTGGACCTGATGTGTGAGAAGCATGGGTCGTTGGTACAAGTGTCTTAGCATGGTTGGTCCTGTGGTGTAGAGCCCCACTCAACTGTCTCCTGATTGAATACAAGGCAACCCTCACCACCGCTAGAGTGGTTGTCATGTGCGCTTAATATCACCTCCATCTAGCTGCCTCACACCTCCTAGAAGGGATTCTCCTTGAGAGTAGGGCCTTGTCTTGCTTCCTGCTGTGCATCTGATACCCAGCACCTAACTCAGAACTTGGGAAAATGTTCATCTAACTCCTTGTGGCTAAACCCAGCTTTGAATAAGGAGCATCATATCACCACAGGACCAAAAATCATTTGTTTCCCCATTTTGCCTCTGTGCCCTTCAGACAGCCATTTGTGGTGGTTAGCAGGGTGGTTGGCATTCACCAACAGGCTTCCCTGACCTTGAGCATAGGCTCTGGCAGTTCGGGTTGGGCGTTTACCGTTGTGCATCCCCATCTTCTGAGCCTCTTAAAAGCACTGTTTATCTGATGACTTCAATTCCGTGTCTCCCCTTACTGCAAATTGATCACAACCGTAGTGCCACTGAAATCAATGGATTTTGCCCTTCCTTGGCTCGGGGAGAAAGGAATTTGGAGAATCACTGTTCATCTCAGTGATTGAGTTAGTAAACATTTTTTTAAAAGTATTTTTTTCTTTTGGAAACAGAGCCACATGCTTAAAATAACACCTGAAGATGTGCAGAAAGTTCTGCAGTGGAAAACATAGCTTCCTGTGCAGTACTTTCCCCAAAGGCAACCACTGTTAACCAGCTCTTTTAGACTAAAGACATTTTATACAGTACAAATGGTTATGTCCCTAAACACATTTCTCCACACTACTTCAACATATTTGAGAATATTCCTTATCAGATTCACCTTTATTAACAATTGAAGTAAAATGTAATGTTCATAAAGTATAGTACATTGATTTTCAGAATGCAGTGCATGAATTTTTATGTACGTATATATGCGAGGTGGGTATGCACATGCATGTATGTAATGCCCACTTGCATGGCCGCCTCTTTCTTGGCAACAGATACATGCTGTTCCACTGTAGGGAGGTACCCTCACTTAATTGTCTCATTCTCTGTAAGATACTAGTGTTTTGAGTTAGTTGTTAGAAACAGAGGCATAGTTAATATTCTCACATGTGCTTCCTCTGCATAGAGAAGAGCACCACACACTTGGGCACTAAGACAGGTTCCTAATCCTGAGGTCTGAAAACCACTGGAAGTCAACTTTGTGGAACAAAACCTGACCACATTGAGTCGAGCCTGTTTGGTCTCTGCCACTTAAGTGTGTTTATTCATTGGCCTTGCAGCAGAAATGTCTCATTCCCAGCTGGAAGCAGACCCTCCTGTGGCTGTTAATTAATGTATGGGAAATCCACTGAGTTACCCTTCTAAAGACCAAAAATTCTAGGTTGGAAAACACATTGGTCTGGAGACCTCAAGGATTTCAGATAAGCACTTCTGGACCTGAAATAGCCAACATGTCTACATTTTTTGCCATTTACTCTTCAAGGCCATTGTAAAAATGGTTACTGTTGGAGCGTGGGTTGCAGAGATTCAGACTGGGAGCTGGACCCAGATCGCCTCCCTGGTTTCCAGCACTGGGTGACTCCAGGCCAGGTTAGAAGCAGAGTCATGAGGGTTACATGTTGGTCTGTGTCCGGTACACTGCCTCATGTGCAGCTCAGCCCAGGCCAAGTGCCAGCTGTCATCACAGTCCTCATCCACTGAAAGCCAGGT